GAAATATTGGAGAATAGATGACAAAAGAAAGGTTCCTCAAAGGCAAGGGGAGGCTTAATATAAGCCGGCGGGTAATCTCTGTGTTCATCATACTTGATGTTTGATCTGGCGCTCGGTAGTAAACGAGCAGTGTGAGGATGGAGCCAGCCCGCGAGTTCAGCTAATTCTGTTGTGTTATAATTATTTGGGAGGGGTTTTCCGTAACACATGGTGTCTCCAGAAGGTCCCGTTCACCTGCTAACATTTGGCTCCAGCACAGGGGCGGGTATTTTTCTCCCCCCCTTTGTCTGATTTCACTCGCTGGAACTGTGCATGCAAGTGATCCGTTCATGATTTGGACATTTTAAAGAACAAAGTTCCAAAAGTGTGACACTCATGGCAAAGCAAGTGACTTTGATATCTGAAACTTCTGAGTCTGGTAAGAGTTGTCTGTTTGATGGGATTTAGCTTTTTTAGCTGACATTCATTAACTTAAAAAGATCAACTTCCAAATAGAAGCATAAAATGTGCACAAAGCAACAACACTCATCAACTCAAGTATGTGAAACTAAAGCCAAAATCTTAGAAAAATGGTTGATAGATTTTTGTACTGGTAACATTATCTTTATGGACTTTATAGTGAAAACTTCTTGCCTGGCCCATTTGCAACCCCTAGTCAACCATCGAAAGTCAAACAATAAAAAACAACTTATATGAAGAATGTTGTCATATTAGTTCTGTAGAGGTGTAGTTAGCTTTTTAGTTTGGCTAATTCCGTCATTCAATAAACTGGTTAGTTGTAGTTTAAAAGGCTCCAACTGACGTTCTTCCAAAAGTTGCATTTCTAAATGTGAAAATCAAAGGGAACCTAATTTATCCCGATCTCAGCCCCCTAAAATAGTCATTTCCATGTTGTTTGTGTGATCAGCATTAATGTGTAATGCTTTTTCCCATCAATTGGTATCATATCTGCTTTTCGTCTTTTTGAACTGGAACAGGATCGGTTAGGCTCTGACATCATTGCATTTACAGAGTGCAGGTTGAACACACCTCAGAAATCAAACCTGATCCAGTCTGTAGACCACACAAACGAATACATTTACCCTTTGGATGGTAATCAGTTCACAGGCCGACGTGGAAACAGCTGCTCAGATGTAATTAGAATAAAGTTGTGAAGAGTGCACCACCACATAAGCTCAGTTAATAGGCTCAGGGCAGTTAAAAGTTAAAGTCACTGAATTAGGAATAATCTCTCTGCGTTCAGTTCCAAAGAGTGAGCGAGCTGACGGGCTCAGAGCACCACTGGAGCTTAGGGGACGCAGATGTGGGGCTAGGAGCTACCATGATCAGGTCTAGAAAAGATACACAATTATAAGGTCCCTCTGCTGATATGGAGGTCTTTTTCCTAGTTCTTCAATTGACTTTAGTCCACTTTAAGAGGAAGCAGGTCTAAGATATCACAGAAATGCCCGAATATGGAGCTCTCTGAACCTTTGGGATAAACAGTTATGGGTCATTCTTTCAGTAAACACCAAAATATGACAGTTTAGTAGTAAGAAAAGAAAGTGTAACTGAAACAATTTAAGGAATCCTGGTCAACTGAGAGTATTCCCTGATGCTCTCCACTCCATGACCAACCACATTTAATTTACCCATTTCCCCCTACTCATCCGGGCATAAAATGGAATTCCAGTCACCCAAGATTGCAAAGTCTTCTTCGCCAGAAGTATGATACGGTCATATCTAGTTATTACAAAAGCTAACAGCTATTTCGTCTGTCAATTAGAGCGCCTGTGCTAACCTCAGAGGAGAAGCATATTTATAATAGATCTTTGCTTTTGATGGTGCTCTTAGGGGCAGTAATTAGCTCTTTGTGCTTAGGTAATGGTATGGGCTTCTTGGCTCTGAGGCTATTCACAGACAGATTGCTAATGGAGGCGCGTTTGCATCCACTCCCATCATTCCTTCATCAGTCACCCACCCCTTTCATTTCAAACACTCCAAGCAAACGCTCTGAGACCAACACACACACACACACACACACACACACACACGCTCACAGAGTCTTTAAGGGCTCTGGTCAAACACACCCACCTTTCATGTCTGAGAATTGTTTGTGTGGCGATGTGTGCGTTTGGAAAAAAAAATGTTCCTTTGTGCGCCCGTGTGTGCACGTTAGAATTTGAGAAATGGGTCCACGGGGAGAGCAGGAGCATAATAGCGAGGGCTCGACTAATGAGTGAATAATGAGTGTATGTTTGTGTTTTGCAGCGTGCGCACACGTATTCATGCATTTCTGTGTGTGTGTGTGTGCGTGTGTGTGTGTGTGACAGACTGAGTGGCTCCTCCTGCTCAGGGTTTCGGAGTTAAAAGGGAAGTCTTCAGGCTAAGTGGTGGTGAGCGCTGCCTCACACAGATCGGATCAAATGAAATCGCAGCGTGAGTGCGTTTGTGTGTTTGTCAGATTTAGGGGGAGAGGCTATATTGATATGAGGTTGTGTTTCAGTCACATCTGAAACCCGACTCGATACCAGAGGACAGTCAGCGCATCCTGTCCTTATCAGCTGGTGTGTGTCTGTGTGTGTGTGTGTGTGTGTGTGTCCTCTGGTTGCTGTCTCTATGCTTCTTTTAATAATGTGTTGTTAAGAACAAATTTTACCAATTTTCATGGACATGGATTGTGATGTATTCCTAAACCAAAGGACAAAGAAAGCCAAAAAATAAAGAAAAAGAAAAATTTTATTTGTGACCATGAGCACAAATTCAGCCTTTTTTTTTAGACCACTGAGGAATAATACACTTTTCTTTTTCAAACGATTGGATTTCAGCTGAACTTGTGGTTCATATTTCAAACATTTTGTGTGGTTTTTATATTGGAGCTTGCTAAGCATGTTTCTCTATACTTAACCATAGTTTTTAATCCTTAAGCTCAATGTAATAGTGGTATTGAATCAATTAATGCAGTGCATAATGTTCTTATGTGGGGACATTTCATCTTGTAGCAAACAAAAACAGGAAAAAATTTATTTTTTCCCCCAAAAAAGTGGCACAATGGAAGTCCATTTCTGTCCCCCGAGGTACGTCCTCGACTTATGTGGCACATATTTGTACTTTCTGACGGGGCTGAAAATGAAACATATACTCCCAAGTAGCTTATACCCTTTATTGATCATTTTAGGCTGATGGACGACAAGAAAAGAAAGAGTTGTAAAGTCAAAGTTGTTGAATAAGTCCTGGGTTCAGACACAGTGTGAGCATTTTGGTAAATCGGGTAATTTATATCTTTTACGCGGACACCATGTGGACTGTTTGTGGGTAAATGGCCGGCTGCTCCCTGGGCAGGTCACCAGTCCACCACAGGGCCACACACCCGTCCACTCATTCCAAGGGGATGTTTAGAATAATCTAGTAATCTAACATGCATGTTAGGTTGAATCAGGGGATGAATCAGGCATCACAAATGTTCATTCACACTCACACACTCTAATTTTTGCTAAAATGTATAATGAGAAAAAAGTGGAACCTCTGCCTTCGTAATGAGAAAGATCTTAAAATCCTGGTCAAGTTTCCACTTGCAAAGTTTTTCAATGTGTTTTAAGGGGATGTGATTCTTATAGCATCTTTATTGCCTTTATGTTGGAGATTAAATCAGACATTTGACACGACAGAACAACTCTGGTGTATCCAAAGTCTCTTTTTCCCTATGCTTTCTGCTTTAAAAAGACAAATGTGTATTGTCAGCCATTTTAATCAGCACCTGATTAGGATTCATAAATAAATTGAACTGTTCCCTCAGGAATTCTAATTTGTTTTTGTTAGCCAACTCTTGAATTGTAATTATTCATTTAAATCGAACCAAAGAGTTTGTGGAATGTTGCAGAGTCAGTAGGTAGGTAGATTACATCTAAAATTCTAAGAATTGACCGGCACATAAAGTGAGGCTGGTCTATAGTGTAAATGCTGATTCAGAGCTGTGTGTGCGTGGTCAGTCGGTCAGGTGTGCGGGCAGATGTCCCCGAGGCCTGGTCCAGTCCTGCGGGGCCTCTGGAGTCATTTACCTCCACAATGAGTCCCATCTGCTGGCCTTTGGCGGGGAGGAAGAGGAGCAGAGTGAGACACATTGAAGGGAGGACTCCTGTGATTGTGGAGCACCGCTGTCTACTGAATGTTTGTCTGAACTATCGGAGAATTACTGAGTGGACGCTGTCGCAAGGGCCTTTATGATGTATGACAAAGCAAGTAGTCGAATGTGGGGCTGTATGATGCAGGGTGTGTGCTTTTGTTTGGCTTGTTTTCTGAGATTAGTTCACCTTTTAACGCAATTTTAAAAAAAAGTATGTATGTATGTATGTATGTATGTATGTATGTATGTATGTATGTA